CTCGCGGGGGACAATTTTGGGTCAAATATGGTGAGTTTTCGAATATGCTAAGGCCTCCAAATTAGCGCTCTTTGACGGAAAAAAATTTGAAACGACACAATAACAATAGGCCTTCGCAGCGCTTAGCTGCTCGGGCCTAAAAAAGAGACTTCCTGTTCTGAGGGGGCGGGGCTTTAATCACGTCAAAATATGATGACAATGGATCGTCGGACATCCAACAGGGATGAGTCATGCCAAGTTTGGTGCTTTTCTGTCTTTCAATGTGAAAGTTATAGCGATTGGAAATTTATGGTGTGAAGCGCAACTTTGAGGCCTGGCCACGCCCCTTTAACCTAAACGAAATTGCAAGCTTTTGATAACTTTTACTCTCCAATGTCTTAAGGGCATATCATCCAAGTTTGAAGGCAATCACTCAAAATTCCTAGGAGTTTGTTAAAATTCGCCATTAGAAACGCCCCAAAATGATCCTTTGACCCAAAATGGCCGACTTCCTGTTGGTTTTGGACCAGGGCTCCAAGAGACTTTTTCATAGGTCCTGAGATGATACAGATGTTCACCAAGTTTCAGAATAATCGGTCAAAAAATGGCTTGGGGCTGAGGTTTTGAAATATTCTAGGGGGCGCTATGGAAGCTATTGGCCAATTATCATGGATTCCTGTTCAAGGGGTGAATATTGATTGACCATACTGATTTTGGTGCACCTCTGTTCAAATCTCTGGAATTTAGAGCCAAATGTATGGAGACGGCGTTACGTCTTACTTTGCCACGTTGCGACGCCCTCATGCTCCACGCAAAACTGTCAGCGTTGAAAAGCAAGTTACACCAACATGTCTTTGGTCATTGGACACACCATCATGCTGAGCAGGTGACGGGTCAGATAGGGACCGTTCAACTTAAAACTTTACACTTCCTGTTGTCAGGGGGTGTGGCTTAAGTGATGTCATGATTTGACCATTCAGTCTTGCAGGGGAGCGGATTTGAATCAATCACTGAAGGTTTGATGTCTCAGACAATTTTCTTGTAGGAGTTATTAGCGTTTCGTTTTTCATGGCGAGATGTCAAACTTTCAGGTCTAGCCCCGCCCCTTCAGCATGCCTCGAAACGAACAGTTTAGATAATTTTTCCTCCCCCATGCCTTTTGACCAAAATGGCCAAGTTTGAAACCGCTTGAGCAAAATCCCTAGGAGGAGTTTGTTCAAATGCGGAGGCTGTAAATCACCAAAAAGGTGTGAAAATTGGGCCGACATTCCAAAATGGCCGCCTTCCTGTTTATCGTGCAACGTTGGTGCCAGAGGGTTTTCTGTGCATCTTGGGGAATTGGACAAGCGTACCAAATTTCATGTTTTTATGTCAAACTAAGGTTATTGCGGAGCGTATTTTGAAAATTTCCAGATGGCACTCTTGAGACGTTTCTGTTGCGATTTTTGCCACGCCCTTAAAATACGTAATTTTTCACCAGTCCTAATGCGTCCGCCCAATTTGGTGACTTTTGGGATATGTTAAGGCCCCCAAAACGCCAATTCATTTGATGAAAAAAATTGCAGCTCGGGCCTGAACAGAGCGATTACAACAGGCCTTCGCAGCGCTTCGCTGCTCGGGCCTAAATATCTCGAAATATATGTACATATTTACTGTGTTCAATTACTCTGGAAGGACTCAGATATGTGACACCAAAAAGTGAATTTTGAAATTGAAACTGAATTATAAAATTGAATTTTCAAAGCAAATTAATTCAGTTTTGAACCATTTAAATTCAGTTTCGAAACAGCACTTCAAAGTCAGTTTGTGATGGCATACGTTTCAATCCATAAAATACACCATTTTTTGTCATAATTACATCTTATGCTTAATTATTAAATTAAAGGTTAATGCTTAAAGCTAGTTGTGTTTTGTTTTGTGTGTTTTAAATGTATATATATATATATATATATATATATATATATATATATATATATAT